ATCAGGCATGATTATTTCACTACGAAAATTTATTTCAAAATCCTGAATGAATTGTTTCGGTGCTTTTCCATCTTGCATCCTGTGTTACATTGAAAACTGACTGCATCTAAGATCTTTTATTCTGGAAAAGCATTATGGCAAGCTGTGGGCTAAATAATTATTCAGATGTAAATACCTGCAGATTGGAAACAAACGGAAAAATGATTAAAAATTTAGACAAAAAATGTTTTATTTTCTGACTGAATTGAACTATCCATAGCTTGTCATGGTGCTCTTTCGTTAAAACTTTTTCCTAAGTTCATTTCGTGCAAAGAATCGAAAACGAAAAACTCCAACGTTCAGAATAGCCTTAAGAAGAAAAAAAATCAAAGGTTTGAGAGAAATTGGCATTGAGATTCAATTTTTTGCACGAGATGCTGTTTAAATAGTTTTTGGCGGGAAATCTTAAAGGAAACTTTGTTCAAATTTTTGGCGAAAAAGTTGCCAGGGGAAACTCTGTGCAAATTCGTCCAAATTTTCCCGCCAAAAGTCTTAGTATATATTTAGAAAATTTTTCTGAATACCTTTTTATTAATTTAACTGAAAATTACTTATCTGATTAACTTGTATTTTGAAGAAAATTGGAACAAATAAAATGATTTATCAAACGAAACACAAGTTGCTTATTGAGTGTTTACGACTTTTCTGGTAGATACAGTTCTAACACATGAAAACAACAGTAAACTTTATTGTAAATATAGAAAAAAGTTATAAACATAATATGTAAAAAAAAAAAATTCGGCGCATGCGTATTTTTAAGCACCGTATTTTTTCTAAGTCTTTTGGCGGGAAAATTTACCACAATTGAACAGATGTTACTTACAGAATGAATAAACATAAATGGCGCATGCGTAATTGCAGCGCCCGTACAAGTTTTTTGGCGGGAAAGTTGAAAATGTTTAAACTGCCCATAACACGAGTCGAGCCGACAGAAAAAACCTTCCAAATAGTCCACGAGATAACATTTGCTTACGTTTGGCTTTAAGTCTGCGATTTTGGTAAATTAATCCTAGCTTCGACTTGATACAATCTTGATAGCAATTCCCTTCGTCTGGATGCTAACTCTGATTAAATCTTTTCTTGTCCAGTCTTCTGTTTCATTCGCGATTGAAGCATCAGTAATATTCCCAAGAAGTCTGCAAAAAAATGAAAATAAACTATAAATCAATAGCTGAATAGATCTGGAATTTTGAATCTTGCTTTTTAAGCGAAATGATTGAGTGTGGTTCACTCGCAAAGACACCATCTTTAAACGTACTTAGTTATGTTAGACGAATATAATTCAGTATTTAAATTCTCTTTTGTCGTAACGCACATTAACCCTTTCACTCCCAATATCCCATTTAGTAATTCTCATTACTGTCTGTTCTACAATTGTCATGACGTTGTCCATCGCTCTGACGAAGGGCTAACGCTCGAAACGTCAGCCTTTAAACTCTTTACGTTTTTAACTCAGTTGATAAGACTAAATTACCCAGTCATGAGGTTATTTTGATATCGAATCAAACTCTTATCCCCTGGTTGATATTTTTCTTTATTCTCATCACGTCTAATTAATATTGTTTCGATATTGTAAGGAGAAATTCTTTCTTGATCGCGAGTTAAAGGGTTTAATAGAAATGTAAACGATAACGTGAACGAAGAATGGATTTACAGAGAAATTCAACACTACTTCTGATGATCTTTCTAATATGTTGTCGGAAAGGAATTTAAGTTCCGCTTATTTCTGCTCCTGCCAAACTTTGTAAATCATTAAATCATTAAATCAAGTTCCCTGGAGATTTGGATAAAGGTCGCAGGAAGCAGTTTACAGTTTCTTTGCTTTGGTGAATACGTATTACCAGAAAAACAAAGGGTAATTAACAATTTATATAAAACGTCTATACCCTTATGGATAAACATTTTCTTTCGACTACGATTTTTAACGACGTTTTTCAGGATAGGAAATCTTCAACGCAGCCAATTTTACAAACGTAACACAGGTGTGGTAAACAGTTAATTAAATGTAATCACATGCTCGAAATATCTTTTCATAGTAAACAGTAACACCACGAAAATACTCAAAGTTTGGACACAAAAAAAAGTCTAAATGGTGATTCAATTCAGTTCAATCATAGTGTCTCAGCGCATGCTCAATGTATTGTTCGCAAGTTAAATTTCTTGCGGGCTCAAGATAACACTAAGCGGATTCCACAACAGGAAAGTAGAAAGATGGAAAGATCGAAATATATTTATAAAAGATCAAAACCGAATTCCCAAATCAACTGATGCACTGAAATGCAACCGTCAATTGTTCTAGCTGGAAAAATTACTACTATTTCATTTTTAGCTTAACAACCTTCGCGTTTTATTGAAACTTTATCAATAATCTACCCGAGATTACAGATGAAATCTGCGAACAATTTGAAAAAAAAAACAATTTTCTTTTGGTATGGCCTTTGAATTTTGGTTTTAAAAACAAACAATCTTTTTTTGTGAGACCGTCGAGAACTAAAAAATGAATTTTTTTAATTTTTGGTTTGTTTTTTTATTGTTTTTTTTACAACTTAACAATTAAAAAAGACTCCGAGATGAGTGAAAATACAACCAGTTTTGAAAAAAAAAAACAGGGCATCATTCTTATCGGAGAGGTAATAACAAGTTCTAGTGACAAAACTGGAAAATTCTAGGCTTGAAACGTATCAAATTTGGTTTAACCCTAAAATGCCCAGGTATCTAAAAATCAGAATCCAAGGATTTAAATAAATGATTCAAATAGAAAAACCCTACTTTAGAATAAGATGAGAAATTCGAAAAAAATTGCAAAAAATTTAACGTCTTGAGTATATTCTCTGAGCCTCAAAAACCAAAACCTTTTAAAATTGTGCTTTAATTGCGATATTTTTAATGAATGAAATTTTAATTTTAAAACAAAAAATAGTCAGATCTTTATACTTATCAGATATTTCAGTTACTGACTGTTGGAGCATACTCTTAATTTTATTCAACTCCTCAGGAGATAGGACATTCATCAAAAGGCTCAAAGTTATTCTCCTTGAATTGAGTAAAACAGTTCCTTATCTGTATCAGGTACAAATTTGTTATCATTCAAACGCCTTAAAAATTTCCATGCCCATTCACTCTCACTCTCTTCAAATTCAAAAGCTAGCTGATTTGTTGCTATGGTAACTATGTACGTCAAATAGTCGGCCACAACATGCACGATAATGTCAAGACATTCTTTCATCTCGTCTAAAATGTTAGTAATGATCTCCCAAACCAACAGAGTAGTAAACTAATGAAAACCACCTCAATAAGAGAAATTCCTGTCACTTTGCATCGGGCTTTTTTATAAATTTCGCATATTAGTTAAATCCAGAGTTGTAGTAATAATTAATTCATTTAAAAAAAAAACCAAATTAACTCACCTTAATAGAGGGCATCCTGATTTTTTTTTCCTCCCTTGAATTTCTTGAATTCGAGACATTCCCATTCCAAGCTTGATAAGAGAGAAAATAAATCTTATAAATCCAGGAATACATATTTTTGGTTGATTACTTTCTGTGACACATAATATCATGGGGTAACTAGCATCTTCATCCCACCCCCACCCCCCTCCCATACTATCACTCCTGAATCAAACATCAAGTCGCGAGAATGAGCGAAATGATCGCCAACCGGAGAAGCTGTGATTGTAAGACAAATTCTTCTTGTCAGTACCATAGGGAATGTATAGAGAACAGTATGGTGAATATCTACATTGATATAAGTGTGCAAAGGGTTTAGTGTTTTAACAGATCTCTCTGTAAGAGGTCACTTGTACTTAGTTCAAATCTAAGCTGGAGAACCACCATAAGATTGGGTTTTCTTTCCCAAGACTGGCAAAATACTGAACCAATGAGAGTTTGAAGCCAGACCTCTCGATCTGAGGCCTGGGCCGAGATATCTAGGGTAGTAATAAAACTTTTGATTGATCAACAAGACGTTCTTATAATCACTTCTTACTTCGGTGGCAGATGGGGTTAGGACCGAAAAAAGAACAAGTAAAACGACTTCAACGTTTAAAATACCATCAGGATAAACAACTGTATATTGTATTTAAATAACTACAGAGACGAAAGCAGATAAACATGGTAAATAGGAGATAAAATTACTAAGAGGAAAAAGTTGTCGTTGCTGCCTTCAGTGGTTCAATAAGAATGTAATGACGTCATGTAATGGCGGCTGGCTGACATTGAGGACTGTTCTTGTACTTTCTTGTGTGTAGCATGCTCTATCTTTTAACATTCAATTCTGCAATTTTTTCGGGGGCAACAACGATAAACATAAACAATGTATTTCTATCTCAAATGTTTTTATACGAAGGTTGTTTACCTTGAAAACATCGAGGCAAAATGACATTCATTGATCCTCGACGCTGAGCTTAAACCATTTGGTTCTGCAACCCTGAAGTAACCCACGCCGGGCCTTGACAGAACAGACTATGTCTGAGGTAATCGGGTTGCAATGAAGAGTTTCTTGGCTCGAAAGTAGCTGAAAAATAAGCTGAAATTTCTGGTAGTTCGAAAGCTCCTTCCACGTGCAAGATTACTCACAAATATGAATATTGATTTAAAAAATACATTTGAATTTCAAATGAGCTTTTGGACTGAAGAGTCGCGAAAATTACCAGAAAGCTCTCGGTTTCTCTCAATCAATTGTAAAACGAAATATATTGACTAGCTGTTGATTTAATTTTTAACTTCTGTTTCAGAAAGAGGTCAGCGAATGAGGTCTAGCGTGCTAGCATGCTCAAAAGACTAGGCAAAATCCTTTTGCTTGTAGACTGACTTGCAAGAAAGCTCCCAAGAGAGTCGTCTTCTCTTAATAAGTAACACACGGTGAACCGTTTTCTATACATGGGAACAAGAAATCTCTAGATAAGAGCTCTTCGATGACAAAGTCAGAGTAAAAACGTAATACTTCTAAAAAATTATCGTGATTTCTCTTCTAACTTTATTGCACACGACATTTTTACGAATTAAATTCATACTTATTTTTATACAACAAATATTGAAATTTTCCACGAAATGCTCCTTAAGGTATTCGACAAAAGGACACGTAAAATGAGTTGAAGGTGCTGATATAAATATAAAGCGAGCTTTAACTAAGTGTCGCCTAATAATTGGCTGACAAACTCGCGCCATCTATTGATGTCACGTGTTTGTTTAGCGTTCCTATTGGTCGGCTGTGCTGTTTTCCTTTGCTGCAATTGGCTTGTAGAATAGCAATGGTTTCTGTTTTACAACACTCGCTTCAAAACTGCTCTATAGTGAAAAGCTATTGGAATCTTTGTTTTCGTCACCTCATGAAAACATAAGTGAAAATCAGGAGGTCCAATCCTTTCACTACCAAGATCTAAATAATAATCCTCCTTATAATTTGTACATTTCTTTCCATAGGATTAGCTCTAATAACTTGGAGTAACATTGAATAGAACGCCCTGGTTAATATTCCTATAAATTATCGTAATTGAAACGGTTAAAAAAAAACCCTTTATTTTTCTTCGCCAAATATGGCTTAAGATTAGGCACAATTTCCTTTTTTCATTAGCTTCAATGGCTAGAAAAACCCCACGGAAATTTAATTAAATTATGGATACCCCTGCAGTAAACAGCTTTGTTTGCTTGAGACTATAAACCAAGAGCATTGTGGGGGATTGGATGAACCCCTATAAAATATCCCAAGGAACTGTAGTTTCTCCGACTCGTTTCCAGCTCACCGTCGCGCATGAACCATCTTGGAAGTCGGCAAGACACAATACCAGAAATATCTTCTGAAATGCATATTTCCTTCATTATATGTATTTTCAATAGTCTTTGGTGGAATTCAAATCCTCTTCTTAAAATTTAATGTCAAATTATGTCCTTTACACGCTTCTTCAATCTGCGTTTTAACGTTTACCATTTACAGCTTTCGACACACGAATGGGCGGTTTTACCAGGTCAGCGTACTCCTGTAACGCCTCTCGCAAAGCTCGGCGGACGGGGGTGGAGTTACAAACGGTACATTCCACAAGACGCGGGTACAACTCAACGACTTGTTCCCAGATCTGCGCGTCCACTGAACAAAAAGAAAAAAACCATATTGGGTTTCACGAGCTTAGCTCTATCCTTAACGAAGAGTATTCACCTTAGAGGGGAAGAGAAGAATAATTGAGCTTACCAACGGTAGGATTTTCCTTCACAGCTCTTTTCAAGGATGACAGCAACGTACTTATGGCTTTCATGACAAAAGACATCTCCGCCATACGCGTTCTGATGAATAACACAAGAATTTTAGTAAGTAACATTTAAAGTCCAGGGAGAAAGAGGGAGATGGATCGGTTACGAGTTCAGAATGCCACCATCAGCTCTGCTTAGAGTCGCTCTTTGATGGACCACCGACGGCCAACGTAAAAGAGGCCCTCCCATGGAAATTTGGAGGAGAACCGTAGAAAGGGAAATGAGGAGGAGAGGCTGGAAATGGGTCCAGCTTGACCAACAGGCGACAGAAATCAATGGCGTTCCATGTTCTTCTGCTGGTGCATGGAGGCATGAAAAGGAAGAACTGACGACGTCCAAGCTGAATTTTGTGGGATCTCTCAGAGACATTTTAAACTTGAATGGAAACGGCAGTCAGGGATAATAAAATTCAGGTCAAACACGAAAGGCAAGTTGTTACCTTGGTAAAGGACATTTTCCACTCAGTTTCTCATCTTCCACGTATTTGACAACAACGTCGCTACATCGTCTCAGTAGAGCGTCCAGCGCCAATTCTGACACCTTGCCGTCTACAACACAACGTAAAATGGTCACAAAAATCTCCTTTACTTCATTGACCCTATAACTCCCATGAGTGATCAAGACAGAATTTCTCCTTACAATATTAATCCAGCATCAAGCAGACAAGTGATAAGAATAAAGAAAAATATAAATTAAAGGATTGTTAGCTAATCCAATACCAAATTCTCTAAACTAACATCATAGAATTGTACAGCAGACAGTAAGGAGAATTACTTATGTGATCATAAGAGTGAAAGGGTTAAGGACCTTCCAAAAAGGTATTGGCTCTATGAAGGAAAAACATCGAGGGAGTTTACAAGTCCACCAGCTCATTTACCTGATTTGAACGGCAATAGTCAAAGTGATAAATTTCTACTTAATTAACTTTGTAACAAAGCAGAAATTTACCCATAATTATCGCAAACCTCACACTGATGTTAATAAATTCGGAAGAAGGCCGAAGCCTTCCGAATACGGCTGGCCTATGTCCACAAAGATCACCCTAAACCTGCGAAACCTTGTTGAATATCATCGAAGAACTAATACAACTATTTGCCCCAACAGGACGTCGCACATTTGACTATTTTGTCACTTTCAAGATAAGAAAATGATGAACAATTCCTACCCTGCTGCTCTGCAAGTTGATCCACCTCAGATGTTCCGTTAACGAACGAAAACTGTAGCAAAGTTTCGAAACAAGACTTTGCAAACTCTTCACGAAGAGGAAATCCGTTAGCATCTGTTCCTGTCAAGAAATAAAAAACATGAAAAAAAAATTATTCATTGAATAAAATATACAGATAGAAAGACTAAAAGACGAAGGCGACCTGTTCACGAAATTCACGGCGACGGAGAACATTCTGACGTCTACACAAAATCAACATCATGTTCGAAAGAACTGCTTAGGGTTAATTTGCTTAAAACGCATCAGGAGGAAGAGGGACTGCCTCAACCAAGAGTAAAGCGAAAGGAAACGAAAACAAAGAAAGAAAAACGATAAAATAAGAACGTAGTCCTTTGAAGTCTGCCATTTTGTTGGTTTACCTTATGATGTCAATTGATTTCACCACTTCATAACCCATTTCAGTGCTGCCGCTCATAAAATATAATCCCGTTGTTTCATCATAACCAATCTTAAACCGAGTTAAGTTATTTGGAAATTTTAACCAGGTTTCTATAAAAAACCAGTGAACTCGCTTAATGCGGCCGCAGCCAATGTAACGCAATAAAGAAAATCACGGTCTTCTTGACATGCCTGACCAGTGCTTAAATACACAGGAGATGCTGCTGATAATTTTTTTTAACTATTTTCATACATTCTCTGCGTCATTCTTTGGGAGAATTCAGTTAATGAACTACGTACCGCTAAAAGTGGCATCTGCAGCTGAGTGAATCGAGCCTCTGTTCAGGAGCGCCATGACTCGTGCCATGAAGTCTTTAGGCAGAGCAGCGGAATGGGGTAGAATCTCCTCACGGATCATGCGCAAAAGCTGTCAATCAAAATAAACCATGATTAATTTCCAAGTCATTGCTCCTGTAATATAACCCGTCTCTCCCCCCCCCCTTTAAACACTGTTTTCTTTTCACCTTGATGTCCAGTTCTTCGTCTGCCTGATGCTGTTCCAGCGACTGATTCTCAGGGGGGGTCCTGTAAAATCAAACATGCGTTTCATCAGGGGAGGTGTAGGGCTAACGTTTTATTAATTGTGATTACTAAGCTGTTCAAAGTCTTAATTTAATGTGCGTTGAATAACTGGTTTTAGCGGTTTTGTTTCGACTCGTGGGCCATGAAATTTAATTCAAACACACCTGGAGAAATGCACGCACTCCACATACTTGTCATTGCTGATATCGCACTTTTGACGTCTTGCGGGATCGCCCACTCTTGTGCAAGGTTATCTGCCTTTTTGCGCTTATGTCATGTTGTATGTTTTCCCGCGTTTGTAACGATTTACGCGCTTTCTCGCGCTTGTAAAGTGTTGTGTGTTTTCCTGCGCTGGCCCATTCACAAGCGTCTAACTTTCATTCAGCTACAGTGCTCTAGTTCTAAGATTAAAAACAACTTCTTCAAATCTACCTTAATACAAAACTAATGGAGAAACTTACATATCTGAAAAAAGAAAGTCTTCAAACGCTGAAGCTAATTCGTACCACATGGACCTAAAAGAATCTATAAGGACAAGCGAGACGTCAGTACTATTGAAGGGTAGGATTGGAAATACAATTTACAAAGATGACGCTGAGAGCACTATATGAACGACGATAAGGTTTTATCATATCCCATGTAAGCGGGCAAAACCATTTTTCTGAGAAGGGAAGGTTTTGGGGATAAAGGACGGGAGAGGGAGGGGAGGGTGAACATTGGAAAGGATTGAAGAGACAACTCACCAAGATGAGACTGATTGTAACATATGAAGACACTGTAAGGTTTTACCACCGAACGTTTTATTACATGAATGCCTCAAGTTGAGATAGCCGTTTATGTTATGAGGCCAATCCCTTTTTTTACAGGAGAGGGATGGGGGGTAAGGGGGGGGGATGCGGAGGGATAAGAGAGAGGACAGGTGAAATGAAACAAACGACCATAAGAGGAGGAGAGATGGGAAAAAAGCAGAAGGGGATAGTGAAAGGAGGGGAAAAAAGATGCAACAAAACGGCAAACTTGAGGGGAGGAGATGGAAAGGGATAGAATGAGGGGGGATTGAGAGGGGAAGGGATGGAAGGGGAGGTGGATTTCAGTCAATTCATATCACGGTACCTTGTCGTGAGAGAGCCGCATTGAGTCCTTTACGAATGGCTGTCATCAATGAATCGTCGGCTAGGACAGGGGAAACAAGTCAGACAAACCTGACGAGGGAGAGGGAAAAGGGAAGGGGATAGCGGGGGAAGGTTAAGGATAGGGAAAACAGAATAGACAATTCTGAGAGGAGAAGGGGGCCGGGGGAAATGAGGGAGAGGGGTTGGTGGGGGAAGGGAATAGTGCAGGAAGGAGATAGTGAGGGAAGGAAATAGCGGGGGAAGGACATAGAGCAGAAAAAAATAAAGTGAGGGAAGGAGATAGAGGGGGAAGGAGACAGTTGGGGAAAGAGATGTAGGAAAAAAAAAGAGACAGCAGGGGAAGGAGATAGTGGGGGGAAAGAGATAGAGGGGGGAAGGAAAGGAGATAGTGGGGGATGGAGATAGAGGGAGAAGGAGATAGATGGGGGAAAAGGAGATAGGGGGAAGGAGATAGTTGGGAATGGGATTGAGGGGGATGGAGATAGTTGGAAATGGGATTATAGGGGAAGGAAATAGTTGGGAAGAGAATTGTGGGAGAAGGAGATAGTTGGGAAGGGGATTGAGGGGGATGGAGATAGTGGAAGAAAGAAAATAGTGGGGGAAGTAAATAGTGGGGGAAGGAAATATTGGGGAAGGATATAGTGGGGGAAGTAGATAATGGGGGAAGGAGATAGAGGGGAAAGGGGATAGTGGGGTAAGGGTATAGTGGGGGAAGGAGACAATGGGGAAAGTAGATATTGGGGGAAGGAGATAATAGGGAAGGGTATATTGGGGGAAGGAGATAGAAAAGGAAGGGGATACACGGAGAAGAGAAGGGAGAAAAAGGGAGAAAATATTGAGAGGAGAGGTGGATGAGAGGAGAAATGAGGAGAAGGGGATATTGGGGGAAGGGGTGGAACAAAGAGAACAAAGTAGACATTCTTGAGCGGACAAGACAGATTTAACTTACTCGTTACGGAAGCCAATCCACATACACGATAAGCTTCATGAAGTAAACAGTCATTTAAGTCAATTTAAGTCACGGTACCTGGTCGTGCGAGGGCCACATTGAGTCCTTTACGAATGACAGTCATCAATGAATCGACAGCTAGCTTCCAGGTGGACTGCGACGAGCAGCTGTACTTGAGACGAAGAGGATTGCGCAAAGACTGGAAACAGGTATGATCCATTTAATATTTTTGTTTTCATCACGCAGGCAAAAGAAAAAAGGCTCCACACAAGATCAATACAAAAATTGTAAAAATCCATTAAGTGCATAGGACCTCAGAACGAAAGTAAACCTCGTTCGTTCCAACTTGCTAGCTGGCGGTTTTGTGGGCGCTTTGAAGACCAAGAATGCAAGCACCGAAGCCGCGAGAGGATTGGTACGGGAGATAGTGGCTAAGGCGCACACAGAACTGCCAGCTATGAAGGCTACATTCGTTTAGATTTGTCCAAGCGATTATTTCACGAGGAAAGTAAGCATGAAATTTACGGCTTACGGAAAAAAAAATTAATTCCTTGACGTCTGAATAAAATTTAAGTGCATTATTGCCGTTTGCTATTGCCATAGCTTTTAAAAGCAATGCTCAAATTCCCTCATGTTTGAAAAAGTTGCCCTTTTTTGTCACTGGCCTTTGAAAATAACTTCTCCCCAGGTTTTGTTTTATGAAATACGTTTGAAAAAAGCTTTGCTTTCTGTTTCAATCACTTTGTTGTACATCGGAAAATAACTACCTAATTCATAAATTTCCGAAGAAAATTTCATCATTTGTTCATTATTGAGTGAACCACATACTGATGATATAAAGAGATTTAAGAAGCTGATTGCCTTTCGTACCTTAATGATTTTCTCCAACACTTTTTCCTCTATAACAGCTGGCTCAGATAAACATTCCCCGTAAAGTACCACAACCATTTCCATGCATTTCTCCGAGAACGGAGTCAACGATAGAATAATCCATTCCTTTTTCTTCCTTCTCGAAGCCTCTGCATTAGACGAATCGTCAACTTTTGGAGGTTCTGTCGCATAATCAAAAAATTGCAGCAACAGTGTAAAGAGTGTCGGATACATTGGTTGTTTTGAATCGTGGAGAACCGAGTTGGAAGAATGAGGCAGTGGCTCGCGCAAAATTTCAATAGCATCCAGAATAGCGTGTTGTAACGCTGTTAACACAGTATCCTGAAATGAAGGAACTAAAAACGGCGACTGATCTATATGTACAGGAATAGTTACAGAGGTCTGTAGAATTCGCGCAAGCTTCTGTAGATCAGCCAGGCCAAAACGGCTATATATTCTCATGAATAGCGAAGGAAAAATCTGAACTAAAGCTGCCAGGAAAGCTTGCGCAGGGTAAGTTCTAGCTGTAGTGATTTTTCCAGAAGAGTCCCTGCGAGTTCTGACGATATGTGCCTCAGACATGCTTGTTATGCCGATGTTGTACCAAGCACGCCACGCGTTCGTCCATAGATTTAAATCCTCGTCTGCTGCCTCACAAAACTTAGGTTTAACTTTAAGTTTAGCAGCTCCCTTTGCTACTCTTTTGTCCTTCCCGTTGTCTCCTGTATTTGAGGAATTTGCGCCAGCACCCTCTTGACTTTCTGACGAATCTTGAACGATGTCCTGAAAACTCTTGAGAGCCGCCAGTGCAACTTCAGCGGACTTGCTCAAAGCCGCAGACTCAATAAACTCCAACAAAAGAGCCCATGCGCGCGGGAACTCATCAAGGCCCGCTAAAATTTGGCGCCGGTTGTTAAACACACGCGCCACGCCACTGAGTGTCAGAACACGAGTTTCCGCCCACTGTTTTTCAGCGGTATCACGTGAATGGTGAATGAGGATTTTATTCTTTGAGTTTACTGCATCGCTCGGAGGAGGAACATCAGCTGCTGAAGTAGACATGGTTTTCACTTGTTCAAGCAAAGGAAACAACACCTGTTGGAAAATGAATACTACATTGTATGTCATGTCTTACATTCTCCATGGGAATGAGGTGAGCTTTGAGCGGACAATCAATGGAAAAAACCTCTCTACAACCCTTTAGGCACCAAGAAGAGGTTAATGTATAACATCTCCTTTCAAAACATTATCTGATATTACAGTTAAGAGAAAAGACAAATTAATCAGCTGGCGGAAGGGGGTGTTCACTTGACCCAAAATTAAATTCTCTTTTCTAACTGACGACTAAATATAAATGAGCCAGAATGGAGAATTAGCAATTGATCAACAGATAACAAAGCAATGATTACCCTCCACAGAGCTGTGTACCACGTGATATTTTCCAGCAACGAGCCATGCGCACTAATGGTGGAGAACAGCGTTTGCCCCGCGCTTTTTCTGACGGCTGGCCTAGGGTCGACACACAGCTCACCAAGTTTGGAATACAAACACATCCACTGCCTGTCTGAGGGGGGGACGGGTTTGTCGTACTTAGCACTGTCATTTAAGGTCGTCTCAATGTCTTGCAACTCTGTGCGAATTTTTTCTCGGTGTTGTGAGAGAAAATCGGAGATATTCCACTAAACACGAAGATAAAGAATTAAAATTACAAATTTTTCTGATTTTCAACAAAACCTGGTGCTGTTACGCCCATTTCAAGGGAAGTTTTAGCAACGAAAATTGAAATGTTTCTTGTGAAAATAAAGGCAAAGGAAGACTCAGAAGTAACTTAAAATACATGCATAAAAGAGGGAATCGAGTTGAAAAACAGGGAGAACTAGGGAACAAAAAAACAGGCCAACAATTGGCCAATTTTGATTAACTAAAAGTCTGGCATGGCTCTGAGGCTAGGGGGAATAAAACAAAAGAAATTAATTATTCATCCCTCAATTTCGATGTGATTCCATTTGGTTTGTTCCCCCGAGCCTCGGAGCCAAGTTTGAATCATAATATATCAAAAATGGCCTATTACACTAAACAAGCAAACAAGGAAGAACGAAAAAGCTACCACACTAGCAAGACACGAACTCTACCCCCCCCCTCCCTGCTGTGTCGTGAAGTGTCGTGAAGTTTTCGTGAAGTTTCGTGAAGTTTCGTACGGGGTGAAGAAAGGACCAATGGGAATGAAGTGTCTTGCCAAACAACACACTACAATAAAATAACCATGGCTCTGGCCCAGACCGGTAACCTACCAACAGACCAATGGCTGTCAAGCTAATGTTCAGCTCCTGAGGCTGGAGGCCAAATTTTCCCGCCACATCTACTACCACCTTGATGCACGTGCAAGGCATCAAGGGAAGGAAATCGGTCACCACGAGCTGCAGGCTTTGGAATGCCACGCGAATAAGACCTTCCCTGTAACAACGTGGGAGAAGAATCGACGTATTAGTGCACCTAAGCATATGGCAACTGGTTCTACGCTGTTAGGGCTCCACAACCAAAAGGATACCCGATTGTTAAAGTTTTAATTTTCTCCATAATAAATCACTTATAGGTGTTCCTGTGGTCAGTACAGAACACATTATAGGCTACGGTAAAGGTGCAATTTCTCTGCGTTTTTCCAGAGAGCAACGTACAAGCGCGAGTAAAGCACGAGGCGAACGTGAAGTGGGAGTGTCGTGCGAGAGAAACGGTGTCATTTTTGCCCCAATCCTCGCATTGTACGTTACTCGCGCTTGCCTTCACTTGCTTGAAAAACACACACACACAAATTAGGCCCACTCAACAGCTGCCGGTAAATTCTATAATATAGCCTATCCCTAGAATTCCAATTCTTCATCAAAGTTATCTACATTTTAACAAAGTCACATTGGCCAAGCAAGGTCTACAATGTTCGCAAAAAAGAACAGTAGAACGATGCAGGTTATCTAAGTCAACAGGCCATGAAATATAAACACGTATCTCACCCTTGTTGGTTAGTGGCTGCCCCTATAACTCCCAACACACATAACCAACCCTGACCAAGATTTTGACCAGTGGAGTGAAGAATCTGTGGACAGTAAACAAGGCTTTTATTTAAACTTTATCCTTGCGCATGATTCCTTCACTTCTAGACTACACAAATGACTGTGAAATGCATAAGAACTTTGTAAGGATTTGTATCGTCTTCTTTCGGGACAAACTTTCTAATCTTTAGTTCGAATTTTTCGGAAACATGCCCCGATACTTCAAGAAAACTGAGAGCTTTTTCCATCCAATTTTCTGCTAAGAGATAAACGCAGGTGAATTCGCCCATGTCAGAAAACAATTTGCTGGCACCTTACCGAGCATTCAAATGGCTGATGGAAATTTATTGCGACCGTTCATTTTTGAACACAAGTATGTAAAGGATATCAATAACTTTACGGTTAAAGGTAAATGAATTTAATTCGAGGTTTCTACGTTAAAATGTACCAGACAAGAAACATTTAGCCACAAAACAAGATTGGCATTCAACGTTAATATAGAGCAATACCCTCACCTGAAGAACACATTCCAATTGTTTATAGCGAATATCAGAGAAACTTATAGTGGACATTTCTTGGAGTGGACCCAGAAGCATGGACTGTAATTGCTGTGGAAGAGGACAGAGGGAAGATAATAACGTAAGTTTCCGTTTTCCCTATGAGAGCAACACCACAGACGCTGTACAATCATAGTTGATCTATGACAAGAACCTGTCTGAGTGTCTGCCATTGTCTATCCATGTGTTTGACTGGTTGACTGAACGATTCGTATCGACTTGCAATTTTAAACTAAGTAATCAGGGATTGCATTGGTTTTGCTTAACTTCGCTATATGATTGGTCCAGAGAGTTGCGCCACTTTCTCAACCAATCAGATTCAAACCTAAAGCCAAATGCGGTTTCCCGCGCTTCAAGCAGTTTGCTTGGTTTTTACAAAGAGTTCTCATTGGCTGCTTGTGATAATTTCTTTTCCTCTAATTAGCCATGATTACTTCGGATTTGAGAGTGTCTATCTCTGTATTAAAATTAGTTGGCTATCAACTGTAAGTTGATAAAGATTGGTACACTGCCATAGATTTTATAAGATTCCGACCCTTAGACCTTCTTTTTTCTTTCCCAGTGTCCATCCATCCGTTCACCATTCAGAAGCAAACGAGTTGAATGATCTAACACTGCTATACAACGAGGCTGGCCTATAATATCTACCACGTGACTTACCAAGTCTTGTTTCAATGGTGGATCGTGGTCATGCGTCAGAGCTGAGCGAACCAATGACGTCACCGCCTCGGCGCCCCATTCTCTCATTTTAGTGTGAGGATGTTGGCAAACCTTGAAAAACAAACAAAAAACAAACAAACAAACTTATATGCCATGAATGGTGGTACAGGCGAGAAGTAGCAGACAGCCACAAAGGACCTACAGAGGTAAGGGTTGGAAAGACAACTTCCGTTTTTTCGTCGCAGTGAAAAAACTTACCTCCAACAGATGTGCGGTCAGCGGTTTCCACAAAACGCGTGCGCGGTGAAGGTTATTTAGGCCTGTTTCTAATAACTTAGCAACGGCGAAGAGAGATGGTTCCTAAAATGAACGACAATAAGTATTATTTCGCTTAGATTGAACAAAACAAAGGAGACAATAATAAACTAAAAGGAAAAAGGGTGGCAAAGAATGGAGAAGCACTTGTCAAGCACTTGGAAACCCCGGCTGAACATTTCAAGATTGAAAATCGATCGAACTAGAGCCATGAAATTTACTCTAAACTTTTCTGTTACCTTATTGCTTTGAGCTTGTTCCATGGATGTAGACGACAATCTACAAAGTGCGTCTACAAGATGATGGAGGGCTACGTCATCCAGGTATCTAAAAACATACGAAACAATCAAAGTTCCCGAATGAATCCAGTCGAACTGTAGCGAGTTCCTGCGATTTTGAGTTTGGATACCTTACCAACTGAGCTATAGAGGACGTGTTGACGAGAAAAGGCCACGGATAGGCCTGCATAACAACTATGCGTTTTTTTTTCTCGGAAAGCCTTTTGAAATCGGAAAAATTTCAGTGAAGATGAAAGTGAACATTTCGCGATTGGTTCAAGTATCGCATCTGACTGGTCGAGACGGTGGAGGGAGTTTCCTGAACCGATAAAGAAGCGAACTAAAGCAAAGCAAAGTAATGCCAGACTATGTTCATCACTCGACTAAAAATTGCTCCAATGCGAAATAAGTAATTCTTCTACGACAACGTACTTAGATGTTTCAAAGAGTCTTGATAAGATTGCAGCCAAGACTGGAAGTTCAGCCATCATTGTTTGTGTTATAACCTGGAAGAGACAAAGCCAGCCATTAACAGAGTCACAAATGACATTTTCAGCTGTGCATGAAAACTACGATGAATAAAAACTGACGAAAGCTACCTAAAAGAAGAGATAACCTTTCTATGAAGCAGCGCAAAAATTGGATTACTTGCCACAGGAAATGAATGACTTGCTTTCATATTCAAATTTGAAAATAAAAGAGCCCGGTTTTCGTGCACATCAGATCCCTTTGAAAACCAGGCTACGATATTTCATTTGTTGTTTTTATTGTTGCTGTTGCTGTTTTTGTTGCAATTTTTTGTATTTTTGCGTCGTAAAATCTGACGTAAATCTTCGCATAGCGATGGAAAAATGGGAAAATACTCACTAGATACTAGATGAAAGAATCAACATCTAGAGAGGTAATAATCAACGAAAAAAGGACGGAGATGGCTGTGGATTAAGGACAGCGAGGATTATCGACAAGGATTCCAAATAAAGAACTAGAGAAACTTAAATGGTGATGAGATTCCAAAGAAAATAAACATTTTAGTCGCTTGTGATCACAATCCCTTCTTTACAAAATGTACTTGTTACCAGATTAGGGGCCTCGCTCGCTGGCATGGCTTTGAGTGTTCCTCCAGTTGATGGCTTGAGACCCAAAATCCAGGTAAGATGCTATTGAGATATAAATTGTAGTTTATTTTGTTCAACATCTCTTGCTTTAAGAATAAACAGCACCATAATTTCCACTCGTGACTTCAGATGAAGTATCATACAACTTCCAATCATCTTTAAATACATTTTGTTTTCCCAACGTGGTAAGTTACCATAACAACCCTTAAGCTTCTTAGAAAAACCCTTAAGTTCAGCCGGCTATGTGAGCCAACACATAGCTTTGGGTAAAATTCAACAACAACAAAAAAGATTGTATCGTTGGTTCAGAGCCACCTAAATTTGCAATAATCTACGTTTCGTTTCTCACTCCTTTGACTTTCATTTTTTCATTTTTCATTCCTCCATTTCTCGTTCGCTCATCTCCCATTAATTCACTTCTCATTCTTGAATTCTCTTTCCCACACTCTTAACTTCTTCCTCTCTTTTTCTTTCAAATCTCGTCCGTTATTTCTCATTCCTTTTCATCCCATTCCTTAGTCTCTCGATCCTTCATTTCTCGTTCGCTCATCTCCATTTATTAACTTCTCATTCCTCAATTCTCTTTCCCTCACTCTTAACTTCTTCCTCTCTTTTTCTTTCAAATCTCGTCCGTTATCTCTTATTCCTTTTTGTCTCATTCCTTAGTCTCTCAACCCTTCATTTCTCAGTTTTTGAGTCCGAAATTCATCAATGATTCTTGTCTCACCTGAAGCGTGGTAAGAACCATGTGCCACGCTGTACCCAGAATTCCACCATGGCAGTGAGCAAGGCTCAGTAACGATCGCATACATTGGATGTTCTTCGCTGTCAACTGGAAATAAATACACCATTAGTTTCAAGGTAATCACCGCCGTCTGTTCAGCCTACAGGCTCTCGTGTTTCGGTTTCACCTTGAGTTACATTCGCCTATTCCACCATCGGCAGTTGGTTATGAAAAAGTTATTGACACCCCTCTTTGTAAATGATTGCAAATATCAGACTTAAGAAGTTTAGGCTGTAGTTCAAATACATTATTGCCCTAAATGACTAGAATGACGTCATTAACCCAAAGTTTTTACTCACCGACACTGGACCATGACTAGAGCCAAGTGGGGTCCCTGTGACCACAGCACCAAAACCAGTCTCCCCTGAGTTGGTCGGTGATTTACCCAGAGCCCGGTGATCTCCTCCTTGAGGATCCAAGAGAGCCTGAGACCCACTAATTGGCATCTTGACATAAGAAACCTGTGCGGTACCAGAGTGGGGATTGACTACTGTCAGGGTGTAGTGTGGGGGCAGTGCTGCCTTGCAAAGTGATGTGATAAAAGCATCTCTTGGAGTTGTAAGATTCAATATACCACAGACGTTGGCGTAAAGCTGGTAGGATTTTAGAATGGATTCCGTGACTGTTTCATCATTGCTGCAAGACATTTTATCGCATCAGCACTGACAAAAACCTTTTACTTCCTAGACGTGATCCAATTAACGAATACATTAAATCTTTCCTGTGGCTTTTCAGTATTAGTAAAAATCGACCAGTGTTCTATTACAAATGCTGTCATGTGATTGGTAACGCTACTCCCGAATTATTCCGTGATAGATAATGAGTGAAGTGAGTAGCCTAATTATGTGCAGTTATGGACCATAGTGAATAAAATCACGAGCCCGTCTTGTTCTTAACGTTTGAACTAGTGGATCTATACTAAAACAGTTAAATTATTCGCTCTAAATTCTTATGCGGGAAGTTGATTTAGGCTAAGGGATCCCTCCAGAGAGGTTTTCTTACCGCTACGATCGGTTTATGCGTTTTCCAATCAAAATATTGCGCGATTCAGTACCTTGCTTCCAACAGTAAAGAAAGTGACGCCAAAATACCACACCACGAGGCCGACACCATCTCCTGAAATAAATCTGGTGCCTTTGATCCTGAAAAATGAATAAATAAAAACACATTAAAATTCAGGAAAGGTAACGTTTTTGAATCATTATTTGTCATTTTAACAGTTCACGTTTTCTTTCCTTTTTTTTTTCTTTAACTTCCCTTTGGCAAATTTGTCCTTAACAAATGACAGCTTTTTAAAAAACGATTCTTAGCTATTTTCATATGCAAGCTACATGTGTACTCAAGTTTAAATAGTATTCTTCCCGGCATACATATCGGTCAAGATTCGATTGCTATCATAGAATAGTTAACAGTTGACTGTCGTAAAACCAAACCCAAAGTAATCACAACAGCCAATCATTACGAAGGTTTGCGACATCATTAGCCAATCAGGACTGAAAGTAAGAACAAGGAGAATCGCAGTCAAGTCATGACTGGTTTTCATTCGACGTTTGATTAGTTTAGAGCATGGCGCCAGTTTTCTAGACCAATCACAATCCGCAGTAAATCAAAACCGAAAAAATCCCGATCACTATCGACTTTTGAAAATTACAGCCAAGTAATCATCTAACTGAGCCCTAAATGGTAAAAACAAGCGCGGTGACTAATCGATATCATCTAATGCACGCTCTAACATAGCATTCCAAGGTGTATACAAATATACAGAATTCACAATAACTAGCTATGCCATATTTTCTTTTTTTACATGAGTAAAATACAAGAACTTTAATAATAAATAAAAAATAACAAATAAAGGGCCAGATGTCGTTTTTGGAATGACTTCCTTAAAACACTAAAGCAACGAATGATCAATTTTATTTCAAAGCTGTCCTCCGCAGCCGTGCCTTAAATGGAGTCTCAGGTTACTTATGCTTAATTGCAATAACTTTGTCATAGAAAAAGAGATAATAGAGAAGAGGAAAAACCAAGTATGAATTTATTAGCACATAAAACTACTATCTGGCTGTGTGCAATTCCCAAAATTAAAAAGAAATTATATGCTAATGCCGTATGCTGATCATGCCATATGTTAATTAATTTAAATTTCGCTTTTCTTTTTTGCTGTTATCTTTTCTACGACAACGTTACAGCAACGTTACTGGAACTTAGATTATTCATGCTCTATATTTACACGTTTTACATTGATTGCAAGAGTTACTGAAAAACTCGTTGAAAGGAAGTGACCAACACAATGATGACTAATTAAAGAAAAATTCGACAGTCTGAAACTGTTGATATTAAAAGAAAAGGCCCCCCTAATAAAATACAAAAACTGAAACTGGCAGAACGAAACTGTTTAAAAGTTACTAACAACACGGACGTTATTATGTATTTCACGTGTTGTTTAATAACGCTTCGTTTACTTTTCAACCGTCATTTTGGACAAGGATATAGTCCGATAGTTATTTGATTCGTTAGAGTCTTATTTTCTTGATTCCGTTGTTTAAGTTATGTGCTATCATAAGCATCGAAATAAAAGTCAAGTCATAAAAGCTTTTAAATTAGCTTCCAGTTTTTGGCGAAGAGGATCAATTTCCTTGTCATAATTGTTTCATTTTGTTCACCACTATGATGACACGAAAGAAAGTTATGATGTAACCTCCTGCAAACAAAATAATTTGAAAAATTTGAATAAAAGTGGTAATATTATTTTCAATGCAAAGACAAAATTGTAAATAACTCTAGGGAGAGCAGATGGTTTAAAACAACCTCTTGCAAACATGATAATGCAATCTCTGTTTTAGATCATTAGCAATAGCAACAGCGAGAGCGTTTCACAGAAAATGGAAACATGGGCTTGGATTATATCTTGGATTTTCACCATCTTCACAGTTATCGGTAATGGATTTGTGATCCTCCTCGTATGCTGGAATCGACATCTTCGCACCAAAACCAACGCGTTCGTTGTTTCCTTAGCAGTTACAGATTTTTTCCTAGGATTGACTACAGTCCCTTCACATTTCTTCTGCGAGTTGGCGAGTTGGTGTGAGCCAATCGACCACTTTTTACCTATAATGTTTACCAGGGTGTTCTTCCAATACTCGTCTGGGACAAATCTGTGTGGTTTAGTCATCGAACGCTACCTAGCTGTTGTGAGGCCGTTAAAATACCTATCTATCATGAGGCGCAGCCGAGTCATACAAATAATACTCTTATCCTGGGCAATTCCCGCTCTTTTTATCGCACTTGTGTCACTACTTCGATACAGATTAGAAACAACTCTTGCTCTCCATGTCACTGGATGGTTGTATATGATTTTTGAAGTAGTTTTGTGTGTATTTTTACTATTTTATTTAACATCAATGTTGTGTGTTGTTTTCAAACAAGGCCATGCCATCCGCAGGCTTGCAAAACAGCTCCGTTTTAACCATCGACTTGTGGCTAAAACTCAAGGAAAGTCTGCAGTCAAGATGATGGCTATTGCAATTGGAGTGTTTCTCATTTGTTATGGCATTTACCTGAAATGTAGCCTTGTGATGGTAATTTCAAAGGATTCCAATTGCGATGATTTCAATTACAAGCTGCCTATTTTAATACTTAACTCTGCAGTGAATCCCTTAGCGTATGCTCTTTTCAAGCGAGACATTAAGAAGGAGTTTAAAAAAATAATCCGTTCAACCCTTTAATTCCCAATATCTTACTGTTAATTCTCTCTCTCTGTAAATTACTTACGAGAATTTGGTGTTAGATCAAGATAACATTTACTTGATAAGTTTGAGTATTTTCATGACCTATTTGCTAGATAATGCATGGATGTTATAGGGAGAAGTTACATGTTAATCACTTCTGATAGTTTAATGACCTCAAAGAAGTATAACGAAAGCAGAGAATCAAATTGTAAAATTCAGTATATAAGCGAGACACAGGTTTTTCCTGGTGATGGAAAGAGTCTATTGTAACCAACTGTACTTGTCTTTAAAAGTCTTTTTAGCTGAATGAATTAATCGAGAGATTTGAAACGAACTTTCTCTTTTCTACATTAAAAATATGGAAAATTTGAGACACATAGCTGTAATGAAATAACAGACCTATCGCAACTTAATTTATCTCTAATCTCTACCGTAAATTCCAAAGCATATTTATGCTCTTTTAACTAATTTTACGACCATTTCAGAAACTTAAGGAAATAAAAGAATAGAGATTTCAAGAAAACGAAGCAATCTTGGATTCATTTCAGAGAGAAATCGCTCCACTTTGACCCTCTCACTTCAAAGATCTCATTCGTAATTCCCCTTTCCGTCTGCTATACAATTCTTATGACATAAGTTCGGAGAATTTGGAGCTAGATCAAGAAATAATCCCTTAATTTTCTCTCATCACTTGTCTGCTTAATATTATATCGATATTGTAAGGAAAAATTCTGTCTTGGTCATTCACAAACAAAAGCTTTTCCTTACCTTTATCATTCTCATTGATGGTGTCAGTTCCCACTCCGGTTTCAATGGCTGCTCCTGATGCATCAGGCTCAATCCAACCCATCCCTTCGGCAGCACTTGACACACCATTGTTTTCTTGTACAAGCACATCAAGACTTTTGACGATCTCCAGCAAACAAGCAAACGCAATGGAGAGTGTGTAGCCGTCGGAGATCGATGAATTTTCTTTTTCTAACTGTTCAAGGCTACGAAAAGAAAAACATGGTACCTTATTGTAATTGGCTAAAGACTAACTAGTCTCTTGTGCGGCCCTGAAACTCGTCGTTTCAATGTCTCAATGATCTGCGAACGATAGCTAGTCCATTCATCTCCACAAATTACAGAAAAATATCGTCTGGTATTTGAACACGATTATCACCGAAAAATCAAAGACGCCCCTTCCCGATTTTCTTTAGCAAAGCGCGCGGCTGAACACGAAGTAACGTCCACAAAACCTTAAAACCTTGGTTATTTGACCGGTTAATTAGTGTCTTTTGCAGCTGTTGTTTGGCTGCGTCAAGCAACTTAGTCTCTCCCCTTCGGGAAGAGGTTCCTCTAAGGGTTCCCTCCCCCACGGGAAAAAGTTCCTCAAAGGGTTTCCTCCCCCACGGGAAGGCGTTTTACAGAGGTTTCCCACCATCTTTGGAAGGGGTTCACCTTTGGGGTCCCTCCTGTAGCTGCAGGAGTTCCTAGAGGGTTGGCTACCCTCTGGAGAAAAAACACAGGCATAAATCTGCAGATTTGATCGTGGGAATGTTTAAAATAATTCAAACCTCCGCCAAACAATGCATAAGTGAAAAGTTTAGAGAAGCAATCGGGGAGATTCTCATGAACACTTACTAAACAGGTTTCGCTTGTCCTAAAACGGGCAAAACAGACAGGGGTATCCATGCACCCCTATAGGAGAATCCAGGTTGCGGGGTGACCCCGCCCATTGCACTCAACGCCACAACTGATGGGGGAGGGGCACTGGAGGGTGTTTGGATCGTGTTCGCACTCGGCAGGTGAGCTGTGTTCTGTGACGAGCTGTGCATTGACAGGTTGGTGAATATTCCCTGAGTAAAACTTGTCAGAGCATTCACCATATCATGGAAGATTCTTGTAGAATGCTCTTGCATGTCGTAGAAGAGACAAAATGACCTACAGGTGAGAAAGTATTTATTGTGAAACTCACGAAACGGTGAACACGAGACATAGGTTTGGAAAATTTTTGTGTTTCAAAGAAAACTACGTGTTCGTAGCGTGTTTTGTCTAATATAAAAAATTAAGAAAACGAATTCATCAGAAAATAAATTGAATGTTGAGTCAAAAATTTTTCGTCCCAAATAGAGCGCAGAGGCCATTGCTTGTATCAATGCAAATAGCGTACACGCGTGATACCTTGGGTCGATCAAACTTCTATACCCTTAAGAAAGGAGTTTTTGGGCATACAAGGCAATAGTTCTAATGGACCATTACTTAAAAATCAAAAGTTTAAATATTTGACTGGTCAGAAAAGATATGAGACCGAGCTAAAATTTGTTCGGCCAGCCAGCATAACTGCCAACTCTCCAAAAAATTAATTATTTTTAGCCCTGTTGCATACTTCTAAGACCCAAATTCCTAACTAAGAATTCTTCTTGCAGTTCAAATAGACTCAGAACAAAATGTAAAGTTGCCCTCAAAATTTAGTGCAACATTTAACTGTATTTACAGCATGACATAAGAGTTGTAAAGTGGGTAATAATTTGAATCTGATCTGATTATTAATTCTCCCCTCTAGCTGCTACACATTTCCTTGTAAATTAGTTATGAGAACTTGGTGCTAGATCAAGATAGCAGCTTCTACCTGATAAGTTTGAATATTCTCATTACCTGTTTGCTGAAGAATGTATGGATATTGTAGGGAGAAGTTTCATGTTAATCAGTTCTGGGAGTTTAAGGGTTAAAGCGAGAGGATTCAACAATAACTTACCTCAGCAAGGCTGGCTGGATGGTAAGGGTATGAAGAACTTCAAGAGCCAGTGCTCTTTGCCACTGAGGTTTATCTGGCTCCAAGAACTTCACCAAGAGAGAAAGAAATATCTCGCATTCTGTTACCTGTGATATAACCAGAAATATCCAAGAAAAAGTTAATCTTGGTTCATTCACTGAACTTTTCAATAGCAAGTACAGTAAATCCTTATGTCAAGGTACTGTACATGTATTTCAAGCAATTTAAGTTTTAAGCTGCTATCAACCATCAGCCCTGTCATTTACCACCTCTCAAGCACTTTTTAATAGCAAGTTAACATCTAAATTAAAAATATTCAACCCTTTAAACACTAAGAGTGACCATCATTTAATTTTTCGTCACAGTGATAATGTTGAATCATACATTAAGATCATTAGAAAAAAACAAATGATTGCCAACCTAAGAGGCTTTGATTATTAAACAAATTCTCCTCATCAGTACCAAAGGAAACATTTAGAGGAGTATGAGGAATATAGATACTGATGCTAAGGTGTAAAGGGGGAAAGTAACTTAAGTTCCCTGTTGAATGTTGCAACCCTCCAAAAGACAACTTGATACATCGATTAGTGCAAAAACATCAGATCTGTGAGTATTTCTACTTGTACATGCTGATTGTAAGAGGGTACATGTTGGTCATGTTCAAGGAATCATTCCATTACTGTTCTTTAAGACTGAAAAGAAATCTATGAAATTAAATATAGAAATTAAACAGCTCACCAGAAGAGTGTAAAATTTCTCGATCAGGACAGAGACAATTCTTAGAAGTCTAACAGCCACTGGATAAAGAGGCTTCTCTAATGGAGTGGAGCTTATGCGATGTTTGATGCTTGGAGAGAACAACTTGATAATTAGAGGGCATACCCTTTCCTTCAGAAGAAAGCTGAACTCTGGATGCTGAAGGAAAAAAAAACAGAGCCAAACAATTTTAAAACTGATTAATAAAGAGTTGTGCTTTCTCAGCCTGATTTATGATTACAACTTGTCTTATTCCAATTGCCTGGTTTGAAGTGATAATGGTAATCAGCCCCTCATGAATGCAATACAACATCTATCCTGAGACTCCCCAGGGATCTTTCGGTCTAATTACAACAATGATTAAAAACTGAAAAACAAATACAGATTACTCTATATTACTTATGTCCAAACTATCATAAACAAGATGCCAACTGCTACAGAAAACTAAAAAAAAAATGATTAATTTCTACTAGGAAAACTTTCTAGAAAGTGATTCTTGCAGCACTTTGGGAGGCTTATGTTGTGACCAATCCTTGCATCATAACTGTGGGTTTCAGATCTCTCATGAAACATATTAACTTGCAATCTCAGTGCTGTATTGTGTCTGCATTTTAACATCTGACCCTGGTTGTTCAGAGGTCAGATGACACTATCCACTGGTTAAATCTCTTATCCCTATGATAGTGCAGTATTTTTTATAGTCACTCATCCCCTGGATAGTGATTTATCCCTTGGATAGCATTACCTACCCTTTGTACAAATGGGCCCTGGATAGCACAGAATTTAATTTACCTTAAGAAATATATTCGGGTAACCTCTGAGCACACTTTCAAGCAGCTCTAATCCAAATGTTCTTGTCATCTCAGTGATACCATTCAACCAGTAAGGTTGTTCACCATTTGTCAGTTGGCATAAGTCCTAAAATAAAATTCACAAGGAAGTTGTTAACTATCACAGACAATGTAAATTTTCCAAGGAGGCTTTTGATATCAAAACCTTCTGAATTTGTGTGTTCCATACTCAGTTTGTTAATGCACTAATTTATTTATTTTACTTTATTTAGCAGGATGTATTTCACTGTGCAGCCTGCTAAATTCAAAAGTTTGTTTAAATTGAATAATTATTATTCTCTCTCTATTTGAACTCAAATACATAATTAACTTCTTTTCATCATTCCATACTATAAGTTACAAAACCTCATTTTTTCTGCTCTGATTTGTGGCCTGTAGGCTTCAGGCTAGAGCCATAAATCTGAGCAAAAACTAAGTCCACAAGTTACAGTACAGACCTCAAACTTGGTTATTAAGAGGTATGTATATACCTGAAATAGAAGATAAGCATCCCTTCCACATGGGTGCAGACTGACTGGACAGTTCTTGTGTCGCACTGATCCTGCTGTTTCTTCTACATCCTGAGAAGCTGGAAAATTTACAATACAGACTATCACAACAGGCTGACACTGAAAACATTTAATAATTTAGATAATTTTTGAAGCTCTTATCCCCTTGACTCTCTATGATAAGATGCTTCACACTTCCCTGACTGACTGCTGGTACCCATTTATAACTTCTAGGTGCCCAAGAGTACAATAGGTCTTGAACCCAGACCTCTCAATCCAGAGTTCAGCCTGCTAGCTTTTGGGGTTAATAGTATGGTAGAGTTTCTTACAACATGTATCTCACATGTATATATGTACAAACTCATTGACCAAAATTCCAGGGTGGCACTTTTCACAACCACAAGTGCTACAAGTTATTAATACCCAGTCATTTCTTAAGAAGAACAGCCCTGGATTCTAGAGGGTGTCACAAGATCAGTAGTTTAATTTAAAAATTAAAGGTAAGTAAAAGTTCAGAGTTATTAAGTTATTAAGTGCATAGGTCAAAGAGCTTAGTACCCAGGCCTTGTTTATCCTCAGTAATGACTCTTTCAAATATCACTGACACCATCTGCCTCACAGTTGCTGCTGCTGTTGTACAGATTGTTGCATCTTTAATGAAGTACAACTTGAAGCACAAGACCATGGCCTAAGAAGAGGAAAAGTAAGGAGAATTTGTACTGTAACCAAATTATAAAATGGTAATTCTAATACTGTGCCCATCTAACTTTTAAAGCGATAAACTTAAGAGTTTTGTGCACTTTACACATTATACATTAAGGTAACTGCAGAAGGTTGTAGCACACAAAAGTCATAGCTAATCATAATTGCTAACTTTTTTGATGTTTAACCCTTAAATACCTGAGAGTGATTAGCATCTAATTTCTCCTTTCAATATCACCCCTGAATTAAACATTAAAGTCATGGGAATAAAGGAAATGATAATCAACCGAAAAACCTCTTGATTGTGAAACAAATTCTCCTTGCCAGCACATTAGGAAATGTATAGAGAACAGTATGGAGAATATGCATACTGATGTTAGGATGTAAAGGGTCGTGGTTATTTTATCGTCCTACACACTGTAAATATTACACTAGCAACAATACTTCCACACTATTTTGAGGGATGAGGTTCAGGGATTTTAAAATTGATCAATTTCATGACTTTGTAGACTAAATCACTAGGTCACAGCAGATTTTTTTCAATCTTAATTAAGTAGACCAGTGGATTTTGGTGCTCCTTGGCCTCCTTTTGGTGTTAACCCTTTACAACCTGACATCGGTATGCATATTCTCCATACTGTTCTCTATATATTTCCTAAAGTGCTGACAAGGAGAATTTGTCTAACAATCAAGAGCTTCTACAGTTGAGGATCATTAACTTTATTCTTTGGACCTTAAAGTGTGATTCAGAGAGTAATATAGTTAAGAGAAATTAGATGCTGATCACTCTTAAGGGTCAAAGGTTTTTAAATACACACCAATTTAAGCAAAATTTACTGACCTTCCCAAGGTTTTCCCCATGAACAATATTTGAAGTTGTTATAAGAAGAATGATAGTCTGAAGAATTCGTAGTTCTTCTAATCCTCCTTCCATCAACTGCCACAGTGCGCTAACAAGGTTAACAGATGACGACTGCAACAAAGAGATAAATTAACAGGTGTTAACAGGTGTTAAACTGGAGTCACCTACATTACAAGCACAAATTGACTGGCCTGAGGGCTTTCTCAGTGTGCGTGCCTTACCTCTGGAACTTGGTTCCATTTGAGATTAAATGCAGTGCATCTGTCTCTATTTTAAAGCTAAGCTTAAGACCTATCTTTTTTGGCAAGCATATTTTTAGACTTTAAATTTTTATTTAATTATAGGTTATGATAATTTGACACTGTAAAGCACATTTGGGCATTAGGAAATGAGCTATAGAAATAAATTATTATTATTATTATTATTATCATTATTATAATTATTATTATTATTATTATTATTTAGTAAAACAAATTTAGCTGAAGGAAATGCTTTCCAGTTTAAGAGGGCCTCAATGGGGTAGTTGTTTGTACAGCTAACATTTAAAATAATGTCCACTTAACAGTTAATGGGTAAATTGACAATTTCAAAATAACACATTGTAGTTTCCAAAGGGTCTTGATATTAGCAGGCAAGTCAAGAATTTAAAGAAAGCGACAAAACTTTTATGTCTGTACTACATGTTTTGACAGAAACTTCTGTTATCTTCAGTTAATTAATGTACAAAACATTGGAAGTTGAATTGTAAAGCAAGTAGAACAATGCTAATGATGATAATAGTGATAACAAGAAAAGAGCTAAAGCATAAAAGTGTGAGAATTAAAAGGATAGTTTTAGATTTACATGGACTGTGGTGTAATTGTTGATTCAAGGATGGTTGTTCTCTTTGAATATGAATAGCCTCTTTTATCTTAAGTTGAAAACCAGTAGAGGCGTGATCCAAAACATGGTAGTTATCTGCTGAACACAAAGCGTGATAATGTGCAGAATCTTGCAGATGCTTGAAAATGTGAGTGGCCCTGTAACTGACTAAGTGCTCTCTAACACAAGGCCTCTCAACACATTGTAGATAGGAAAAAAATTTTATGTCCAACTTTGTTTAAGATAAAAAATGGTTAAAATTTGTCAATTTTTACAACTAACAGCTAAGGTTTTTGGTGGTTTTACTGCTAAAAGTTCACCCCATTGAGACCCTGTTTGACAAAAGGAGCTTGATGGTATTAACGGGGTAATTTTAGGGTATGACTCTTCATGAAAAAGGAAGTAGCCCTGCTTTTACAAAGATTTGAACAATCTCAACAATTTAATAAATTGCTCTCAACAGATGTTGACAACTCCCACTCTACAAGTACAGCAAACAAACTTCACAGAGTTACCCTGCTTTATTGATGGGTAGAAAATGATTTATGCTTCTAAACTTTTTAAGCCCAAAACATCACGGCAAAAACTGATAGCTCAGTTTCCATGAAACAGACTTTAAGCACTTGACTGACAAATAGTTCTTTACTTGACTCTGATATTATCTTCTACCCAGCTTGTCTAAACATCAGTCATTACTATCAACAACAATGCTTTTCAGGATTACTCTCAACTGGATGAGCTTAATAAAATTACCCGGCGTTGTAGTTATTATTATCAAATTCTTTATAACAATCAGGATGGTGTGCAAACCTCTGATAAAGCATCATTGGTTATAAGCCGCTGAAGAGCTGTCAGAGAAATTTGTACCACTCGGAGACTCTTGGTATCACAGCCAAGCAAGAAAGGTTGGACTATCTCAGTTTCTTCAGCAATCACTGTTAAAAAGGAAATAAATACATGTCATTATATGTTGATCATTATTTGGTTAATGCTGTTTTCAACCTTGTACACCCTCTGATTAGTATCTACATTCTCCATACTCTTCTATATACATTTCTTAAAGTGCTTACAAGGAGAATTTGTTTAACAATCAAAGCTCCTCAGGTTGGCGATTATTTACTTTCCTCTCATGATCCCAAAGAATGATTCAGTAGTTATACTGCAAGGAGAAATTAGTTGCTAGTTACTCTTAGGATTTAACCATTTAACTCCCAAGATTGGATTGTTAATTCTCCCCTCCAGGCACTACACATTTCCTTGTAATTTAATAATAAGAATTTGATGTTAGATCAAGATAACTTCTACAAGATAAGTTTGAGTATTCCCATTACCTGTTTGCTGGATAATGTATGGATACCACAGAGAGAAGTTACAATTATGTTAGTCACTTCTGGGAGTTAGGGGGTTAAAAGGTTAGGAGAGCTGCATCATACCTTTGGAAGCATTGCATTTCTGGCAGAATTTTAATGGCCTGGGCCCAGTTGCTTGAAGGCCGATTAGCTAACCCAGGGTTAAATTTTAATCTACCTAGGTTTTTATATTTCTTGTTTAAAAGCTGTTTTAAGGACAATTTTTCTCTTTTGTTTTAAGAACATTCCATCACCAATCATCAAATTGAAGACAAACAGAGTTAAACTGAATGTTCTTTACAAACTTTCAGATCTTTAATCAAATTTTACACTAACTCTGCATTATCTTAACCCAGCTTTGAACAACCTGGCCCAAAGCTTTTTTCATTCAGATGTAGAAACAATTCTCCTGTTTCTTTCTCATTCTTATCTCTTACCACTTAGCCTGATCAGCATCTTATTTCTCCTCATATATCCACCCCTGAATCACACATTAATGTAACAAGAATAAAGGAAATGATCACCAACTTAGGACATTCTTGACTGTTACACAAATTCTCCTTGTCAGCACTTTAGAAAATGTATAGAGAAAAGTATGGAGAATATGCATACTGATGTTAAGGGGTATAAAGATTTAACCCCTTTACTCCCAAAATCTACATGTTCATATAAATGCTAAATTCTTTACATGCTACATTGTATATATTTCATATAATTTCAGCCCAGAGAATTTAGTCTTATATTGATCAGAGAATATGTCCTGATTGATATTCTTCTTTATTCTCATTACACTTCTGCTTTAAATGAATTGATATTGTAAGGAGAAACACCCTTTTTATCACTCCAGGTGTGAAGATTTTTAAAAACCCTGAGACAAGTCTGTCTTTTTTTGAAGCAGCTGCATGTGTGTTGCAAGTTATCAATGCTTATATTAGACGTTTTTATTTATAAACAGCTATTTCTCCTAAGTTATCAGTGTTTTTATTCCTTTCAACAAGGAAACTGCTATTAATTCATAGCCAATTCTATTTGTAAATAAAATTGAAATGGAGAAATAAAAATATTTTACGACTGACGCCTGACAAAAGCTGATTTCAAAGTTCATGTTGAATATCTCTATACAATGTCTACTCACCTTTCGTGATTTTCAAATTCTTCACCTTGGCAGCACCAATAGTTCTGAGGCGTAAGATTCCAGCTTCTGCCGCCTATAAAAAGAATAACAATTGTCAAACCGGGGGATGGAGGCAAGCGGATATCAAAATTTCAAGGTTAAACGATCAACAACAGTCATTAAGATTAAATATAGTTAAAATAAAATTTTGTTGATTTTAAATCGGGAATGCCAACCTTGAACACGTTATTACTCTGGTCACTAGAAAAAGCTCTCAAAGACACAAGCGAGGCTATTCTAAGACATCAAACTGGCTTCTCACCTCTTTAACCGGTTGAAATTTTCGCCTAGTCTCGTTCGACAAAGCTCTAAGGTCAGATTGGACTGCATCAATAAATTTCCGTGATCGCTCGTCCAGAGTTTTCGACATGTTCGAGATGATCAGCAGCGAGCCCTCACATAAATTAATTTTTTATCTCTGCTGGGATTTGTACTATTTCTGGCCATTTTAGGATCGTTTTTGTCCGAAGTTTTCAGCAGATTAATTTGGTGGAACAAAGGGAGGAGGCCGCCATATTGGATAGCTGATGTGGCTCGTGCCAGATCTCTATGGTAGTCATCCACAGGAAGTTTAGGGCCTGTTTACATGGAGGTGGGGGACCCCAGGTTGGGGGACCCCAGCTGTGGTCGAAAAATAAAACGCGTTTACATGCAATCTTACAACCCCGGGTGCTGGGGTGAGATTTCTTGAGGTTGTTGTTACGCTTGCAATTAAGAATATTGAGCTGAGACGTCCCAAGCTCACATCTCGAAAAAAACAAAATATTAATTTACAGACACATATGTATTTATTCATGAAAGCGTCACGCGTTGTGTTACGCGGTGTTTGGTTTGGCGAGGAACTGTTGACTTAATACGTTATACGGAATAGTTTGGGAAACCAAATATGGTCGATTTACAACGCTAAATATTCCGAAATGTGAACATTTTACACTCCTTGTGTGTCCGTTGCGGGTTACCCCACCTAGGCGGGTTACCTCACCTACCTTGGGTCCCCCACCTCCATGTAAACTGGCCTTAGTTCTATCTCTTAGATCTGTAACTCAAACCTGAAGATGTCCCTCACAGAATATACGACCACGTGTGATATTCTATGATGAGCCTGTTTTTTTGTGAACGTAGGAGGTCTGAGAAAATCCCAGCGAACACAAGTTAAAATATTGCAATCAGATCAGAAGAAGCCAGAATTATAACGGTAGGTTATCTTATAACATTTGTAATGAATTAATGGCTATGACATCTCAGAGCATGAATCCCTAAGGAAACAGGAGGCTACAACTAAAGAAAATAGACAACGATTTTCCTAATTCTTATTTTCCTTGATAACGATGATAATAACAATAATGACAATGATAATAATAATAATAATAATAATAATAATAATAATAATAATAATAATAATAATAAGATCCCTGTGGTTGTTGGTGCGCTTGGTACAGTAAAGAAAGGGATGTTGGAAAGCATAAGAAAGGTATCAGAAGCAGCTACTGTGACAGAGATTCAAAAGATTTGCATGCTAGGATCTGCGCGAATCCTCAGAAACGTGCTTTGTGGTTAAACAGAATTATTGACCTAAGAGGCTGATGCCCTTGGTGCGTGGTTTGCGCATGGCTGATGCACATAAAGAACACCAGCAAAGACTTTGACAGAAGAGAAAATAATAATAACATTGATAACAATAATAATAATAGTAATAATAATAATATTGTTTAATGAGGGAACCCAGCTCGCTTAGACTGTTTTCAGTGGGACGGTTAACCTACAGAATTGTTTATATGATGTACTAGGATTCAGGAAATAATTATGTCTCCCCATGGGGTAACCGACATGTGTTGTGTTTACACAGCAGTTCAGAGGATAGACATAACTCGCAACTTAGTATTCTTTTCTTCTCCTTTTGTTTTTCTTTAAGCGATTAAAGGGAAGCGTTCGTCCTTCAGTTTCTATAGAAGAAGAAAAAAAGAAGAGAAATTCTGTTGGGGAGCGTGAGAGAGAAAATAGAAAAACCTACTCATGATCAGTTTCCTTTTGCTAAACCGAGAACCTTTAAATAATATTTGTCACGTTTCAAGATGATTCTCGTTTCTGTATCGACCGGAAGAGATTTTGGTACAAGATTACGAGTTGCGCAATCTTTTCTTTTCACCCTACCATCGTATAGTTTATTTTCGTTCCTATTTCGCCACTGTTACTCAAGCATCGGACGAGCGAGCTCCGTAGCTTTGTGTGAATTTAGAAATACCAAGCCTACTTTGAACTTTCAAGTTCACGGTTTGCAACTGTTCAAACATTTTCATCCTTTGTCATAATTGTTACTTCTTAGCTTATAAAACTCTTCTTTGAGTTTTTCTTTCTCGTTAAAGAAGTATAAAGAAGTCTTGATCAAGTTGAAGGCAGTTTGAACGGCCGGGCTCAAGAAAAGACGAAAAGCCAAAATGAAGTGACTTTCTCTTCTCATCTTGCGCGGCCGCGACAGATATAAATCGAACGAACTACTCCATCATCAGATCCCTTATCGTTAAATTATTGAATGGGTTTCTGGGTCACTTTGTCACTCATGATTTATGTCACATCAAACAGGTTTTCCGACGACTTCCTGTTTAGTTGGCTAGTTATAATCTTCTTCCATCAACGATTTTTCTACTACGTAGCTTCAGCGGAGATTTAAAGATTCCTAAGAGGCTGTGTGATCTATTCAGGTACGTAGGGCTCACATAACACGAAAATGATGATTTTTTCCCCTAGGAATTGTTAAGCTGAGGTTCGACTGTAACTGCTGATATACAAGGAAGGGTTTTTAATAACATTTACGTAACTATAAATAAACGTGTGAGAATTGAAAAAAAAGTGTTAGCAGAGTTACAAATTTATCAAAAGAAGAAAGCTACAAAAAATCAGCTCTGTATGCAATATGATCAGAAATTTATAACTTTATCAAATTACTATATTTCGACAGAGGTTTACGTTGTATTCATAATTCAGAGTTGGTTCGTGACATAATTTCTGTGAATCATGGAGATGACCTGAATCGCACTTGACCCTTTTACTGCTGTGTTCTTCGTCTATCTCTGTATAAACAATCTGTTATAAGCACACATTACGGGTGAGTTCGTCGGATCAAAACCACGATGCAAACAGGACACTCAAAGTTGTCTGCTTTTTTTATTCCTATCAAGTTATCATAGTTTTAACCAAAGACAATTTGATGAATATGGGCGCAATTATTGTAAACAAAATAATTTAACATACAGCAGAATGTATTTTTGTCGCAATTTAATATTAAAGTTTACGATTTATAAAAGTGAAAAATAAGTTTCGCCAAGTCGCGCATCAGGTAGAGGGGAAGTCCGAGACGCTTTTGGTCACTGGAATATCTGCAATCGACCTTGGCTCGAACGTATTTCCCTGAATTCGGCGGGGTTTCCCATATCAAGGTTTCCTTTTCTCAACGCAAACATTTATTTTAATCCACACTTTCTAATATGAGAAAATTTGCTGTTTTAGGGCCGAAAGAGAAATGTTTTTCCTTTCTATTCGGAACCGGAAGAATTAATTCATTCTTCATTAAAATATCGTATACCTTAGAACTGAAATATTAAACTACGATTTAGGACTCAAATGCAAAAATTGAATAAGACTTATGTCAGAGCAGAAATTTCAGCGGAATATGCTTGTCACCTAGAAAAAATGGAATCTGTCAAGTTGAAAATAATTTTGTCAGTTTGAAGACAACTACACGTTATGCTCTGTGTCATCATGAAGGGTGTCTCAGTCCATTCCTAGTTTTCCAATACAGTGGGCGTCTTCCGTGCCGTCCGGAAAAATAATAGGAATTTAAAAATAACATAATTTTTTAGTAATATCTTAAAAAGAGATCTGCTCCTCAAACAAATTCCCAATGTATGCCTACACTGGCGTCTGTAAAACACTAATTAATAAATTCACTGTCACGCGCACGATTCCTTGCAACATTGACAAAGGCTCGCAATAGCCTTGCCATACTTTAAAAACGTCGCAAGAGTGAAATCACCACAACGAAGCGGGCCTATGTTTAAAATCCTGCCAGTTTCGGATGCATATGGTATTCGTCAGGAAGCAGGTTAACTTTGGGTCATGATCGAGCGAGGCTTTCCCCAAAACAAACTCCTCTTTCCATTCAGTGTGAATTGCAAACGAAGTTCAATGAAAAAGGCTTCTTAAAAATTCAGCGCGGTAATAACGCTGACTGAAATAACCTGTGATCGAAAAGAGCGTGTCCCGGCGAACGGTAAGAATCTTTATAAGAGAAACATTTTGCGGGAAAATACCATTATTTATCACATATCAGATGTCGTATTATTATCAAGTCTTCTCTGTTTCCTTGAGTCCTCTTTTCCTTTTTCCTGTGATATTAATAATTAAGTTGAAAAAGAAAAGAAAAATTTCGTTGAGTGAAGGATAACTACCGGAAAGCACGTGAAGATGCAGCGTATGTTTCTAAGTTCATAAAGGAAACAGAATGCTTCCGTACCAATCCTCGAGTTAATTTTGACGGTATTAACATTCATTTTCGAGGAAGCTGAGTTGAAACGCTAATCGACTGATTTGCACGTCTTCGATTTGGCACTGTTGTAGCACAATCAGTGATGACGTTTCTTGAAAATGTTCAGTATTCACAGCACGCTCCAGTTGATTTCATATCTAAATATTCCTTTATTCAAATAACAAGGAGGAAATAATTGTGCTGCGTGACAAGCCACTTCCTGTTATATAACAACATCTACTTCCGCCCACGCTTCGGTCCAATGACAGCTTGACACAAACAGGAAGTCTTGACGCTTGTATAAAAACCTACTCAAATCGCCCACACGACATTACTAAGTTTCGATACTGGCTGAGTTACGACTGTGAAACTGCTAAAAGAACGACGATTCTAAGAGGTATGTCTAATTACCATTGGTTTCTTGATGTTTTTTGGCTCACGATGTGAGTTTAGATTTCTCAGCGAAAATTTCAACGATTTCGCATCTCGTGACAATTTCGAACGGCGTTGCAAGTGAATCATCACGTTGTGCTAACAATGCATTTTCTTATTCTGTTCGGCAGAAATCTGAATTTGCGATTAAATTATCGCGAAAGTTTGAGATGAGTTCGACGCCTTGCAAAATAATCGTAAAATTTCTCGTTCTCTTACGAAGAAAGATAGACTGCAACCGCGTTTTAGCGGCGAGCTCGGTCGTTCCATGGGTTACGTGCTCTTCTCGTTATTCAAATTTTGTAACCAGGAAACATGTGAATTGTCGAAACAAGTACATAACGTAAGTTTTGTCCAAAGCTTTAAAAAAAGCGTGAGAATAAGAACTCGATTCAATCGTATAGCGTATAAGATCGACGACAATAGTTCCACTAACTGCCAAAGCTTTATTCGATTTCTGTTATGTTAGCTTCGAAATGTTCGTAAAAGTACAGTTTGTTGTTCAAATTCGAAGAAACTTCTCTCAATTTGCACATATCTTTGAGATACCTTCGAGGTTCTACATTTGTTGGTAAGCTTTGACACGTTCAAGAGAAACACGTCTTTTCAACTCCGGAGCGGAAGTTCTAAGGACAGCAGGGGGCCAAAGATGACCTCTAAGGAGAGGAAATAACAATCCTTCGTGTGGCCGTTTCAAAGGACAAAAATATGAAATTCAAAGAAATACTTCTTAAACTGGGAAACGTAGATCGAAACCAAAAACTAAGGGCGGATGTTTATATTGGTCAAAAACGGTAACTTTCTCACGCAATTTGAGAAGACGAGATAAAGGGTACACTTCTTTGATGTTATTTCAACTACATGTTTAAAACTCAATTGACTCAAAAGCGAGGCGTCCAACAGTTCCTAGTGGTTAAGATATTTTTCTTTCTCGCAGCCGTTTATTCCCAACGCAAACATTTAGATAAAAGTTTTCCATCGTGCTTTTGTGCCGTTTAAATTTGTCAAAGAAAGACAAAGCCAGCGAAAATTGCTTTCTTCCATGAATAACGTCATGTAGCTTCCTTCCGTAAATGACCAATCAAAAACAGGATTTTTCGCGGAAACAATTGGAATCACGCGAAATATGCTTTGATCCGTTTTTTATCCTTAAGAAGAAAGCAGTTGCGGTTTTAATGGCATAGACTTAAACTTCACCGAATTCCGCATCACTTATTTCTTAAATGTGCTGAAAACGTCAGTAAATATTCATTTTTTCCTTTTTGTTATAGAAGAGGGAAATTCATTAGCAGAAGAAGGGCATTCAGCGATGTCGCAATTTGGTAAGTTTGAGCGTTTCATACGTCTAGAGATAAACTAGCGGTTTTGATGATATCTCGTGCGATAAGAACTGACGAGAGCGTATAAGGAATAACTCAGCGATAAATGAAAATATAAAAATTTCAAATCAGGCAAGATAAAGAAGTAATAACTGCAGCAAAATTTGACAATTGTTTTGGCCAACGAAAACAGTTTACGACATGTTCAAATTAAGTGGTATAATTTTTCCTCCTTCGCGCTTCGAATAACAAAGGTGGCATTTTACTACGTATGGAGAAAAGAAATATTATGCTATTAAATAATATGTTAATCGGTTCCTAGCGTCGATATATTGACAGTTGACTTCAGGTAGGTTTTTAATTGACACCGGAAATTTTCAGTTCCTACCGACGTTTCTGTTGAATAGATATTTGGTCTAAAAAAACCCTCATAATTGACATTTTCGTTTATAGAAAGCTTACGAAAACCTCCCAAAACTGCCATTCACCTTTGGGAATTTTTACTCAATCTATTATTGGATGAAAAGAGTGATCACATGATATGCTGGACCAATCGTGAAGCAGGAGAGTTTAAGCTAAAAAACCAGGAAGAGGTCGCAAGGAGGTGGGGAAATTTGAAACACAGACCTGGCATGAATTACGATAAACTAAGTCGAGCGCTGAGATACTACTACCAGAAAGGAATCATCAAGAAGGTAATGTTCTTTATTATAAATAGAAACTACCAACTCCTTGCAGTTCTAATCTCTTCCATTCTCATACAGTTTCTCAGACCTTGTTTGTTTTCCTTTTTTAAGGGAGCAAACACAAATTTTCTCGAGCAGTTGTAACCCATTTTAATGTCCTTCATCTTTTAAAACCTTTTTCTCTTTCAATTTTCAGACAAATTACTTTTGACGTGCGTAAAGGTTTTCCTGTAACAATTAAACTTTTCATTCGTGTCCCAAAAAGGTGAATAGTTCTTTGCGAAGGGGGATTTATTGTTAAGATGATCACAAAGCTGATTAATGGCAATGACGTGCAGACCGGAAAGTTCCTTCTGGTGGCCTGACAGACTTTTGAATCCTTTGCCTTTGGCAAGAGTTCACATTTTCAGCGAAAAGATAACAATATTTTCTTTATTTTTTTGTTAAGTGGGATCTCTTTTTGGTAAAGGACAATTTTCGTTTCTTCCTTTGTCAGGTAAATGGTCAGAGACTTGTTTACAAATTTGTCAAACCGCCTCTCGGAAAAGAGAGTTCTCCCTCGCGAGAAGTTCCCTCAAAACCGCAAGCACCGATTGGAGAGGATAAAGTAAAAGCTGAAGAACCAGCAGATGGGAACAGTGAATCCCCCAGCGTGCCTTGCGTACGAACCAATGCAGGAACAGTACCTCAGAATACGCTCACAACCACTTCGATGGGTTTCCGAATCATTCAAGCCCCATTAGTCGCTCCAGGTCAAATGACATATCCACTCTCTCTCTACCCATATCTTGTACCTTGCGTCATCCCAGCGTGCCGTCAGTTTGGGGTCATCAAGTCATAGACAATCATAAATAGTCCTCTTGTTATCGTGTGGTACTAGAAAAGATAAAAAAAAAAAGGAAGGAGAAGATTATTTGTGACTTGGAATTTCTTCCTCCTCCTCACTTCGCTTCGTTCTTTTCCATTTTTTTCCGAATTTAATTGTGCCTAGTTCAAGGAAGATTCGAGACACCTCTTAGGCAAACATTCGTTTAAAGTGTTATTCTCAGTTTACTGTACATAATTCTCCGTCACATTCAAAGAAAGCATCATCGTTGAACAAAAAAAAACAAAAAAAAAGAATTATCACGCTGCCTTTAGAAAGCTGCTTCATTTCTCCAATTGACATTGACGGCAGCTGTAAATATGAGTTCCAGTGTACAGTATCAATTTGATAAGAGTTTGAAATGTATTGACAGTTTTAGCTGTCGTTGCAGGATTTTTGCTTATAATTTATACTAAGGATTATATCATATTTAGATAGTCACGTTATGTTCGTGATGTTCATGGCGGGATTATGTGACGAGTGTTGCGTGATTACCCCTAGATTACTGCCAAGAATGGGATTAGCGCAGTGTTGTTTTGCTAAGGGCAAAGAGTGAATATTGTCATAGGTGTGAGTTTTTATTTTGTACATAATGATACAGGCTTTAGATAGCCTCTTATTAATTTAAATAAATTTCACGCCAACTTTGATAAGAGTCCGTCTGTATCTCTATATTTTCAGTCTTGGGTAAGAATGGGCTAATCCCGAAACACGCCTATCACAACTGAGCATAATGGTTCATGGTGTGACGCGTATCCAGTCCACCTTATTGTCAGAAGAAGACTGGTAGTGTATAGTCGGAACGACGCGATCCACATCGGACATAACAAAATCTCTACAATAAGCGACCAGGCTTCACTCTGAGTATATTCACTATGTTAAATAATTAGAAATGCAACCTATTTCACTAAATAAACTCTCTGGCCTGTTGACTGTAGTTGTTCTTTGCGCGGCAAACGCGTTACATCTGACATCTAGGAATAGCAACGTTCAACGTTTCTGCGTACTGAGAGAGTGTTAAAGAAACTCTTCATAAACTAGGGAGGGAAACGGAAGATTTTTTTTTATTTTAAGGTTTTCGTCTAATACCCCGATCACACTATAGGTTAAACATGTATTAAAGCTGTTTTGTTAAACATCGTTTAAAATTGTTTGCTTCATCGAAGCTTAAAAACCAATGTTTGTCGACTTCAAATTTAGCACAACGCAAAGACAAGTTGATAAGTGATTAAACCCTACGGGAGATTAAGTTTTCAGTTTTCTGTTTCTGATTTTCACTCAGTCAAACCTGGTTTAACTAAACGTGTTTTGCTGGTGTGAATGGGGTATAATGTTTGATGGAAAGAGTATGGATGTGCTGTCGTGAATCTACTTCAGCCACCGATCTGCTCCGTTTTCCGCACCCGTTTTTAGACAGAGCTTCTAAAAGTTGCAAAGGGGTTTGTGAATCCGCTTCGCTTCATTGTAGCATAATCAAGCTTTGATTCGGCATTGAAATCGACAAATGATAAAAAATTTAACTGAAAATTCATTTCGAATGATGCATGTTGTACTTGCCTCTCACTGATATTCATCCGAACTCGAACAAATAAAAACTATTATACGCTGCCGCAGCTCTTACGAAAAACACACCACATTTAAGACAGGTGTATCTTCACTCAAAAGTAAAAATTAAAAACCGTTTTTAAAACATGATTTTTCTTCGAGGCAGCATATATCTGGCTTACATAGGAGAGAAAAGGTATCCCTTCTCCTCCCCCCCCCTCTCGCCCACTCATTGCAGGGATATTGGCTAGCTAACTTCGGCGTTGCGTGCCTCGAGCGAACTTCTGTGTCAGTAGACTTCCTTCCGGCGAAGATACACCTGTTCAGACATCACAATATCAAAGCGGATCTTCTCTTCACCATTAGAAAACATTCTCATCTTCTGATTAAAGATAATGAACGCTGGATATCAACATTCTGCCTGACGCAATCTTGAAAATCACGGAAGATGTAAGTTTTGAAATTGAACAACCCCATCAGACAAGAATTATTTCAAGCTCAACCCATGAATAGTTATCTACTTCATCTCAAAGAGCCACCTGTGAGGCATAATGTCAATATGCCATTTATAATTAGACGTTGTGCTGACATGAAATTAAGTGTCGACTTCTAAATTATTACTGAGTCACGTCCGAACTCATACATGAGCTAAACCCACATTGTACAGTGTATCACAGTACGAAAATAGTACCACATGAATATATTCTGCTCAGCGGCATTCACTTGATTGTCACAAGATTCTCAGCTTACTCAGGCAGAATATCAACAGCTCTTGCTATATATAGACTTGACAGTAGCCGTCAGAACTCGTCTAGGATGCCTATGAAATGTGCGGGGCTCGAATGTGAGGCAATGACCAAGTCCCAGGGGGTAACTTTAAAAACCCGGGAAACTCCCATGATTGGTCTTAACACGAAAGTGCTGCCAAACAGAGCATGTTTCCCTGGGTCTGGGGCCTTAATGTGAAACGGCAATCCACGTCATAATTTATGAAACACCTGATCCTTTGTCAACCCCTGTGCTGTTTGCAGAGCTACATGAAGCCATCCCACGAAAATCGCAGTGCTTGAAAAGTAATTCAGGAATGAGAAGGGAAGCGAGTGAATTAAAAAACTTTTGGTTCGTAGCATTGACATTGATTTGCGCTGCTTTACCATCGAAACGCTTCTTGTTATCGCCTTCTTTAGAAATAAATTGCCTGAGGTGAAACATTCGTCGAAGACAAAAAAATATATATGCCATTTTCGTCTACCAGGCAAAGATGAGTGTTCTTAATGCACGAATCACCTCGAGCGAGCAGAGCACACTTTCAATATCCCTGTCTTATCTTCGACTGCTATAACAACACCTACGTTCCTGTCGTTAGCTACCTGGAGGCTTTGCTTGTATTTTACCATTTACCTCCCCCACGTGATCAACGTGTAACTTCTCCTCACAATATTAATACATTCTCCAGCAAGCGAATAGAAAGAAGAAACAAACTTATCAGATGTAATTTGCTGGCTGGATTTTAGTACAATTATTCTGGTGACGTATAAGGAAGCGCGCGTTCTGATTGGTCGAGACGACGTTACTCCGCGAGAGGTTACTATGATACTCTGGTGCACAACTTTTTAAAACGATTAAATTGCGATTGCTTGAAATTTCTCAGAAGAAGAAAATCAAGGAAAATGCAGTTAGTTTGAAATATTTGAGTACTTGGATTATAAAACTTTTCCTTCAGGGAACAGCTGAATATCAAAAAAAGAAAAGCATTTTAAACTAATCACTAGTTGAATAATTTTGACTTTTCTGACCCATCTTACACGGAATGCGAGAGAACCGGAAGAGTGACTCACAAGTCCGATCCGGAGGAGTCGAAAAAAAAATTATACCGAAGTTCAAATGATCTTCGTTTGTTATGAGGCTACCATGTTACCGTTACTTTTCCAGTTTGGAAAGAGCGGTTATTACTCAACTTTTTTGCTACTCACCCAGCTCAGTCATTTAAGTTTTATTTCAGTTTCGGTTGATGTTTGACACCCTGAAGTTAAATTGCTGTTGTCAACGAAACAATAACAAATCTATTAGTACATTTCATATTTCGGTCTAACTGAGGAAGGAAGTGGTAAGATTAAGTGGGAGGACACTTTATGCGGCGCCGTGAACACGAAGGGATATCTTTTAATACATGGATTGAACGCACATAACTAAAATTTTAAGACGTCTTCAAAGTTTTACCGAACACAGCATTCGGTACGTCCGTAATTTCACTCAATTTCACTCGTGGGAGATTGCGTTCGGCACGAAACCTGGGATCTAGGAAAATCTCCCACCATGTAAACTTCGTTAGATCTCTTTAGAAATACGCGTGGACAAATTGGTTTTATTTTTAAGTTAGCAAATAAGCTAAGAATAACGTAAGGCTTCCTGTTATCTGCTATTTTCATTTAGACTCCTTTTTTTATCTTTGTCAGTTTCTCCATGCTATTGTTATAACTTTCCTCTTCGATGTAATATTCTTCATAAAAACACTCAAAACTTCCGCTCGACAAAAAACAATTATACCGATGTTGTTAGATTTCATGAACTATTTACAATAGAGGTCAATAACATATTTCAAATTCCCTATTGTTCACGAGAAAAAATCCATTTCTAATCATGAAGTCTGTAAAATCAACCAACTGAAATTCCGAGTAGGCGGCGTTTGAGACAGCCTCGACACGCCATATTAACGTCAAAGAGAAACTTCTTTATATTAGTAGGAAATCTTTCAATTATTTTTTAATTGGCGGATACAAACAAAAAATGGGTAAAATGAACTAAAAAGGAAGGAAGACGGGTAATGATAGTAAAGATTGAGACGGAGAGTGAATGCCGCCGAACTTTAAACCTGTGCACTTAAATTATTTGGTTGAGTTATTCGATTCACATTTTATAGGTCAAAGTATTCTCAGGTTTTAAGAGTTGTTTTTGGTGATATGTTCTGTCCCCATGGTATTCATTACGTATAGTAATATCTAATTTCAGCCAACTCGAAAATAAAGAATTAAATCTGGAGTGTATCCTAGTTTCCTTTTCCTGTCCTCTCATACAACAATTCTTGATCACGTCAGGAAACGTCATAATAATTTCGCAACATCCGTTGCCACGCGACGTTATCCTAAGCCAAGATTAAAACACCGACTCTCCTTACTAAATCCATACTTAGCCTTAAATGTAAATTCTGAGAATTCAGCTTTGCATTAACAGCGAATACCAGATGATCAAGTTCTCTGTTCTCACATCATTTCTGCTTGACAGAGTATCAAAATTATAAGGAGAAATAATGTTCCGATCAGGGCTAGGTTTAAGGGTATGACGTATGTGCGACCCATGCGGTGAACCCAGGCATTTTCTGCGGCTTAAATTGTTCTGTGCTCTCGATAAGGTGTCAATTTGGTTACAAGAATTGAGTTCAAACGAAAGATCTGATCCGATCCCACTAAGGTTAGTAACGCATGAGACTTGAATTCTCTAACAATTACGTTCACGAGCCATATGTCGACATGACTCGGCGATTCAGTCTTCTGAATATTAAGTTGTAGAATCCCTTTTGATTTAATTTAAAAATCAGAGGAAATGCACCGACTAATCAATTATATGAATACCAGCGGTTCCAAAAAATCTTGATTTCTGTTACGCTAGATGTTTTGGGAGATGTTCGGAAAGTGCTGCCTTGAGTATTCCGCCTGCAAGATAGAGAGCTATCATTTAACGCGTATAACGCACTCGGCTCCAAATTACTTTGTCCTGAACTGAGAACTAACTGTGATCAGTCTGCTGCCGATTTCTGCCCCCGAATAGACTTTTTCCATTGTGAGCCGTGTATTTTCTATATCCAAAAATACAGATCTAATTCCTTGATGATTCTTTGAACTTAAAACTAGTGAATGACATTCCAGTGATTTTATATGTTGCCATATTGTTATGTATATATATAGCCTACTTCTCGATAACATTAACGGAGTTGGATTTTCTTTAAGAGAGAAAAATAATGCACCTGAGAACTCAAAATAGAAAACAGTTAATGCTTCATACTTCTTCATGTGCTGAATACTTGCATTCATCTGAAAATTGGAAAAAATTGCA